ATTTTAATTGTGATTCGGGTAAAAGTTTACAGAGCAAATTCATTTTCCGTTCAACAATCCATATACGTTTTGTTTCATGACATTGACTACAATCCCTATAATATAATAGCTCTCTTAGTTCCTCTCTGTGGTTCCACCTTTTCCCTATGTCCTTCTTTTCTATGCGTTCCTGCCTTCTGAGCTGTCTCCCTGTGCAAGTGCTGCCCTTTTGATCTCCCATGGTTGATCTAAGGAGTTTATCTACCTGGTGTAAATGTCCACCTTGAAAGTCTGCCTATTGTCTGGCTTTAAGCCACAGGAGTAAGTTCAGTTCCAGGCCTGAAGGGTCAGTAGGAGCCATAGTCTCAGGGTTTTTCACCAGTTTCTATCAGACCAGTAAGCTTGGACTTTTTTAAGATTTTTAGTTTTGTTCCAGATTATTAACGTAAAGATAACATTTATATGCACTGGGAAACCAAAAAATTAATGTAATTTGCTTTATTGTAGTGGTCTGAAAACGAACCTGCAGTATCTCTAGGGTATGGCTGTATTTTTTTGTTCCACTCCTGGGTTTTGTCTCATAATTTTCCAGTATACAATAAAATGGGTAATGTATCTGAAATAAATGGTTGGATAATGGCTGTAGTAATAGGCTCAAACATAGCAATGATTGTGAAGATGACACAGGACTGGGCAGTGTTTTGTTCTTTTGTATATAAGGTCACTATGAGTTAGTACAGACTATGGCATCTAACAACAAGTAATTTTCTCAATCTCGGCTTCTGTGATAGAAATACTTTAAAATTTTGAGAGACATGGTTAGTCTTGTTTAAGAAAAGTATTTTAAAGATTGCCTTTATAATAGTTACCTGATTTTAGCCTTCTGGCTTTTTAAAAAAGTATAGCTTAAAACCAGTTGTTTTTAGAACCATTGAAAATTGCTTTTGTAATAGAAGTATGATTATTGTTTCCCACTGGCACATTCCTTCATATTCTGTTTCGAAATGAACAGATACTCATTTTGTTGCATAAATCAATCTATAAGATCTATACAGGTTTTTCTTCAACCAAGAGCAAAATTACTATTGTATTTTTTCCTCTTTTTAAAAAAGAAGAATATACAGATTTAGGATTTAGTTAATTTTGGCAGGACTGCATCATCTTTTCAGGAGCTCTGTTGCCACAGTGATTGGCTGCTAACCAAAAGGTTGGTGTTTCGAACTCACCAGCTTCTCAGTGCAAGGAAGATGTAGTAGTAGGTTTCTGTAAAAATTTACGGCCTTGGAAACTCTATGGGGCTATTCTACCCTGTCCTGTAAGGTAGCTGTGAGTTGGAATTAATTCCATGTAAGTTGGTTTTAGATTTGGGTTTTCCGCTTTGTTTTGCAACTTTATGCTTTTGGACTAGTAACCAAAGCTTAGAAACTTTGCATCTGGAGTATATGTCACAGTGCACATAATAAACACGTAGCAAATATTTGAATGGGTGAATGATTGAATGAAACCTAGTTGAGGTGAAGGTTGGCACTGGTTTACAGACCACTGGAAAATTCTGATATCTTCAATACTGTAATAAATTGTAAGTTTATGTCATAGATTGAAACTTTTAAAAGACAATTATAATTAGAGATAATACGTGTTCACTGTGCAAATTTTGTAAAATATGGTAAGAGATGAAGAAAATAAAATTTGTAATGAGAAAGCACACTTAACCCATTATTAAATTTATGTATATAGACTTTAATAATACTTTAAATAAATTGATAGAATATATATTCAGTTTTGAATTCTGCTCTATTTAAAGTTGTGACTATAGTTAAAATTTCTTTTTCATTTTTGAACCTTACAGGCCCCTTCACAGATGTAGTCACTACAAATCTTAAATTGAGAAATCCGTCGGATAGAAAAGTGTGTTTCAAAGTGAAGACTACAGCTCCTCGTCGGTACTGTGTGAGGCCCAACAGTGGAATTATTGATCCAGGGTTGTCTGTGACTGTTTCAGGTAGCAATTCATACTCTGAGTTTTAAATTTTGACATTTTATGATTTTATTTAATTTGGTTTAATTAATAGGGTTTGCTGTGAAGGGAAGGAAATAGTTATTCTGGCTTTGCCTTTAATAATGTCCTTCTGTTATCTTACCTGTGCAAACTGGCCTGAAATTTCTCACTTTTACCTTTTATCCTTATGGGAGGTGTTATTAGCAGTTAAAATTTTTTCGATCTATTCTTTTTTGTAGTCGACTACTGCAATTACTGCCCTTTTTGTCTTGAAATATTGGACCGTGTTTTTATGACTGATTTCATTCAGATCTCTAGCTTATTATGTATTACATGGAGCTACAGAAGTATTTTTCTAATTCTTTTGCTTCCAAATATATAGTATCTCTTTATTGCCTATTATAAAATAAATCAGATGAGTCTTTCTACTTTTCATTCATTGTAAGTGCCAAGTGTTTTGCACTTGAAAACTTTATTACCCCTTTATGTGTTTACTTATAGTAGAAGACATACATAGTTTTGATTCCTTCCATATATGGCTTGCTCACTCCTGCTGTTGGGGGTCTATGCTGATGTCATAGTTAGTGTTACAAACTATTCTTTCTTTTCTTAAAGCCCAAAACAATACTCTTTTAACTATATCATCTAACATAGCTGAGAAATAGGAAATAAGTATGAGAAAGTATATATCCTACAGAGACCATTATTTACTCTTACTTTATAGCTATAGTTCTTATCTCCCACTCTGTGTCCTTGTACCATGGGTAGCATGAACATGCATAGACTTCTCCCCATCAGAATCTCTGGTAACATGGCCTGGACATATGTGTATTTTATTTTATTTTTTTTTAAAATAGAAACAAAAACAAACCTGCTTGGGTGATCTTGGTAAGGGCACCTAAGATATTATAAGAATTATATATCAGTTTTCTGGTTTCTAAGCCCACAAAACAAACAAAAAAAAAAACCAAACTCACTGCCGTTGAGTCGGATCTGACTCATAGCAACCCCTCCTTGGGTTTCTCAGGCAGTATCACTACAGAAGTAGATGGTCCAATCTTCCTTCCGTTTAGCAGATTAATAATGACAAATTATAGGAAGACTGAGAGCCTAGAGCAGATCCGTTGAGCATATTTAGGAGTGAAATATTCTAATTCTGACTGTAAGGACAATAAAAGACCTTAGGGTTCTTAGTGATACTAAATCCTCCCTCGGTAAGAATAGCCAAAATGTCAGTGCTAGGTGGCCCTAGAAGTGATGGTTTTAGTGAATCAAGAGGTCAGGTGGCCTGTGGGGGAATGCTTCATATTTGTTTGTTGATACCTTAGTTCATTTCAGCAGCTCCTGGGAAAAATGGATGGGAAATAAGATGTTAGCTAAGCCTTTAGCTACATTGGAAGAAGAAAAAATAATTTTTATCCACATGATTAAAAAGAGTTTTTGGTGCGGTTATACCTCTTGTTGTTGTTGCTGTTATGTCCTGTCGAGTTGGACCCAACTCACAGCGACCTCTGCTTGGGTTTCCGAGGCAGTATCACTAAGTAGATTGTCCAGCCTTACTTCTGAGGAGTGGCTGGTGGGTTTGAACCTCCAGCCTTCTGGTTAGCAGTCAAGTGCCTTAGGCACTATGCTACCAGAACCAGTAATGACTTCTTTGAGGATTGTGGAAATTTTGTTATATTAATATTTCTTAAGAAACTTTAAACTTTTAAAAGTACTTTCTCCCACATAAACCTCTTGTATTGAACATCTGACTGATTAAAAACTCCAAACTATTTGCACAGTGTGTCCTCAGATTTAGTGTACTACTTTTACATATAAGGAGTCACTTGAACTATGCTTTCTTTCTCTAGCTACATTTATTTACCTAATTAACTCTCTCTACTACGTGATCATTTTTTCTCTCTCCTTTTTTATACATATTTTAAAATTGTCTTTCATGTTATATGGTCTACAACCTTAATTAGATTTTAATTGTCATAAAGTTATAACTCTGTTTATTCTCACATTTTTGGTAAATATCAATTAGCCTACAGTGATTGCTCAGTGAAAGATGTTAATGGAATTTGAGTGGGCTTTATTTTGAGTCAGTGGCATTTATCTTGTGCCTTTTCTGCCCCTGTATATTTGGCTACCTTTGAAAATATTTTTACCCATGATGGGACTTAATTAAGACTTTTCAATCATACCTTATATGTAAACTTTTCTTAGAAAATTGATATTTCTTATACTTTCTTAATTTCATGTGTCTTTATGAAAATGTTGACACTATCTTATATGCTTTAGAAATAATCTAAATAGTGTCAGGGAAAATTTTCATAATACAATATTTGGTATAGTTCTCCATAGTCTCTTGAATTTATATTACATAAATTTAGGGTGACTTATATCCAGAGGGAGCGTCTAAAAACTCTTTATAGACTACTGAAAAATCAAATGCTTAGAAAAAATGGGGCTCTAATCCAGAATTTATGAAGATACCTGCTTTTCTTCTATACTTGTTTTTATAATCAAATTGAAACAAATTGATATTTTTCTTGAATAGATCTTTATTTAAAATTCATTTTAGAAAAATTAATTTGTATCAAAATATTAATAATGATAGTTTTTAAGTTATTGTTTCTTCTTTGAATATACCTCAGTTGTCTAACTTTAAAATATATTATTACTAAATATAGAAATGAAGCCTAAATTGATATTACAACTAATTTTAATAATAATAAGATTTATTTGAGCTTCTGGTCATTATAATAATTAATTTTTGCAAAGTTTTGAAAAATTTCTGAACTAAATTTATTGTTTAAGACTTAGCAGATCAGAAAGGTTGACAGTTTAAAAATTAGAATCATCAAGTTGCTTTTGGAGTCTTAATGTAAATAATCCAGTGTTTGATTTCTTGAACCCATGCTGGTTTTTTTATTTTATTTTTTTCGCATAATGTGAAGGAGATAATATGGAACAGTAAGAGGCATACACACACAGAAGACAATGTAATGTGTTCTTTCTTCTTATTTAGTAATGCTACAGCCTTTTGACTATGATCCAAATGAGAAGAGTAAACATAAGTTTATGGTACAAACAATTTTTGCTCCACCAAACACTTCAGATATGGAAGCTGTGGTAAGTGTAGAGTTTGGACAGAATTTATTTTGGGGAATTTGTTTAAAGTGTGTGTTTTGTTTACCTCTCAATAGAGAGCCTACTAATTTTGAAAAGACATTTGTTGAAAATAAGGAGCACCACTACTAAGAAAAATGTCCTGTAATGGCTAGAAGCGTTACTGTGATTTTAATAGATAATGTTAGTAACTCTTTTTAATACTAATTTAGTATTGCGATCAATGCAAAGAAAGTATATTAGTGAGTTCTGGCTGAGCCATAGACTTCTCACCACTGCTTTCAGCAGCTGCTACTAATCCTTTAATTGCCCCTTGAGGCGAAGCCTGTTTGCCATGATCATACCTCTTATGTCTCATATTTGGTTTTTGTTTGTTTCTAGTGGAAAGAGGCAAAACCTGAAGAATTAATGGACTCTAAATTGAGATGTGTATTTGAAATGCCCAATGAAAATGATAAATTGGTAAGTAGGACATATATGAACATAAGGAAAATGGAAGCTGTTAAACTTTGAATCAGTTTGAAATTAGTTTATTGGTTGCTTTTGGCTTGGGGGGGGTGCAGTTTTTAAAAAAATTTATATGCATTTTTCATTTTATAACTTTTAATCCATGAAGAAAGAAATGCTTTTAATACCAGCTGCATATTGGAAAAGGAATCTTAATTCTGTCAAATTTTTACCACTTAACCACTCAGAGGTTTTTTTTTTTTTTTCCTTTGAATGAGACATATACACATACATACAATCAAATAAGAGACATAAACTCTCTGGCAACCATATACCAGCAGTTTTGGGATAAAGGAGCTGATTTAATTTACATATATATGGAGTTTATTCCAGGTCTGATTATTCCCAGGTATTTTGCAAACTTTTGTTTTTGGTCAATATCCATTTGATTTTATTCTTTAGTAAATAATCTTTACATTGCTTATTAATTAGCTTGGGGCAAATAAAATTTGGGGGACTGATGGATATGTGTGTAGTTTAAAAATCCAGTTGTTTATGAATGTATACAGTGGGTTGTGATCACCTTCCCTGTTCCCCTTCTGGAATGCAGATTTGAGTATTTCCTGTGCTGGGGTTTATAGGAGGAACTGGAGACATAAATCTCTTTTTGGTGACTTAGTATATGTGAAAATAATGAATAAATAACATGGTTTGGCACAGTTTGGTTATCCTCTGACATGGCTATTGCTTTGCTTTGATATGGGGTCTGTTTGCTCTATTGAAAAGTAAAATTTTGATACATGGGTTTGATTACTCTGTTAATCTTTCAGGGTGTGCTGAAATGACAGTTTCTGAATGGTAATTGCTGTTAACCAAATTATTTATTGAATTTTTTAGGCTTTTTAGATAGCTATTTTGAGGTATTTGCTGAAAACAAAAGCCGACACTATTATATACTGTCAGGGAATATGTGTGTATATGTGTATATTCTTACTGTCAACTAGTGAATGATTACATGTTTTTGTTTCCCATTTGGATTTTGTTTTACCTTTTGCCAAAGCTACCAGGAAGCTAATACATAGCTTGCACAGCTCTTATTATTAGAACCAAGAACACATAACACCATGTTGTCAGGTTGACTTTTTTTGTTGTTGTTGTTTCAAAATACATTTGGATGTTTTCTTGCTTGAATTTATGGTATTTTTTAACAACCTTTTAATAAACGTAGCTAGATCTGACTCTGTCATCTAGGTTTCTGTTATTTTCTGGCTAGGAATTTGAGATTAATGTCTGAAAAGGGCTGGAATGCTATAATTGAGCCTAGTCAGGCATACCTGCTGTATAATTTTTTTTAATGCATTTTATTGAAATATAATTTATGTACAGTGAAATACACAAAATTACAGTGACATGGGTCAATGAATTTTTTTTTTTTTTCCCAATGTTCCCTCCCCTCTCACCTCTGGCAACCAAGTTTTCCTCCATATATAAACTTTTCCTTGACCCTCCACAACAATGAACTAATACTATATTTGTCCTTCTGTGATTGACTTATTTCACTCAGCATAATGTCCTCCAAGTTCAACCGTATTATGTGGTATTTGGTAGACTCTACATTATTCTTTAGTGCTGTATAGCATTCCATTGTATGTATGTACCATAGTTTGGTCATCCACTCTTCTGCTGATGGGCACATAGGTTGTTTCCATCTTTTTGCTGTTGTAAATAGTGCTGTGATGAACATGAGCATCCATGTATCTGTTCCTATCCTGGCTCTCACTTCTCTAGGCTATATACCTAGGAATGGAATCTCTGGGTCAAATGGTATCTCCAATTCCAACTTTCTAAGGAATTGCCATATTGCTTGACACAGTAGTTGTGTCACTTCATAGTCACACAAGCAGTGTATGAGAGTCCCAATCTTTCCACATCCCCACCAGCATTTGTTATTTTCTGTCTCATTGAACTTTGCCATCAGTACTGGGTGAGACAGTATATCTCATTGTTGTTTTGATTTACATCTCTCTGATGGCCAATGATTGTGAGCATCTTTTCATGTATTAGCTGACCACCTGAATATTCTCCTTGGTGAAATGTCTATCCATGTCTTCTGTCCATTTTTCAATTGGATTGTTAATTCCTTTGGTGTTGAGGCATTGGAGTTTTCCATCAGTTGTAGAGATAAGTCCCTTGCCAGATATGTAATTATTGGCAAATATGAATTTGTTGCTGTCATTTTTGTCATGTGCTTTTTCATTGTGTCGATTTCTTTGTTCCATATAATTTTCTATGCTGAGCTTGTTTTGTGTATGAATCATTTTATTACTTCCTTCATTGCTATTGTTTTAGTATTTGCTGAATATTTATGCTGGTTCTCTTTTTTATTGTAATGTGAAGGTTTATCATTTTTCTTTGAGGTTACCCTGTGATTGAGAGTTTTCTTCCCAAGTGTAGAACAGTCCATTCGATCTTGTAGTTGTCTTGATTTCTCTACCATCTAGAAGTTCTATAATGACACAGATTTTTTTTTTCCCTCTTTTTGGTTTGTAGTTGTCCTCATTTGTTGGTTGGTATCTATGGTTCCCTGTTTACAATCTTGTAGGCTTATTTACTTAGGATACTTCCATAGCTGGGTTGGTTTTGGGGTTATATCATCATGTGTGTTAATGGTCAGTTGTTGTTGGCTGTTGTTGCTAAAGGGCTCCCTTTAGCATCTCTTGTAAGGTTGGTCTGGTTTTAACAAATTCCCTTAACTTCTGCTTATCTGGAAATGTCCTAATTTCACCATCGTATTTGAGGGACAGTTTTGCTGGGTACATAGTTCTTGGTTGGAAATTTTTCTCTTTCAGTGTTTATATATACTATACTATTGTCTTCTCGCTTGCATGGTCTCTGTTGAGAAATCTGAGCTTAGTCTTATTGGTTGCCCCTTGTAGGTAACTTTTCGCTTTTCCCGTGTTGCTTGCATGAATCTTTCTTTGTCTTTGGTTTTGGTGAGTCTGATGATGATATGTCTGGGTGATTTTCTTTCGGGGTCTATCCTGTTTGGGATTCGTTGGACTTCCTGAATGGATATATTCTCATCTTTCATCATATCAGGGAAGTTCTCCTCCAACAAATCTTGGACAATTTTCTCAGTGGTTTCATTTTTCTCTTCCTGTTCTGGAATTCCAACAACACATAGTTTATTCCTTTTGATGGTATGCCACATGAACCTTAGGCTTTCTTCATTTTGTTTTGATCTTTTTTCTCATTGATTCCTTTCCAAAGAAGTATTCAGATATTTGTCTTCAATTTCATTAATTCTGTCTTCCATTGCATCAATTCTACTCCTTTGCCCTTTCAGTGTGTTGTCTATGTCTGACAGTTTAGTATTAATCTTCTGGATTTCTATCTGTAGATTTAGAATCATTTCTAATTTTTCATTTATTTTGTCATTTTGTCCTTATTTTCTTCCAAAATTCTTCTAGGGTTTTGCCTGTGTTTTCCTTGGTCTATCTCTCAATCCTTTGAAGATACCAAAATATAATTATTTTGAATTCCTTATCAGGGAGTTCCAATGCTGCATCTTCCTCAGGGATGTGTTTTGGGTGTATATCCTGGTCCCTTGTTTCTCCTGCTTTATCTTGCTTCTTTGTGTGGTCTGTGATGCTCTGTTGTCTCTGAGGCATTGTGACGTTTTTGTGTTTATATTTAATTGGTGATTATATGTTGGAGTGACTTGCCCACAATTTTTGTTTTCTTTGTTTTTTTTTGTATGTTATCTGTACAGGCAGCGTACTGTGCTGTGCTCCTCTATTTACTAGTTGACAAGACTTATACACTCACCACCTGTCTCCTTTCCTTTGTCAGCCTCTAGTATGTCCTTGCTGACCCTGACAAACAGAGCCTGTTCTTAGGTCCCTGGAGAATGCTATCACTTTAAAATTCAAAATGGTTGCCACTTATAAACATTCAAAATGGCTGCGCCCTCGGTCACTTTAAATATCCACAATGGCTACCACGTGTAAACAAAGTGGCTGCGCCCTCCGAACAACGAAGTCCACAGCTCAGGTTGTCTCCCTCCTTGCTGTTTCCCTTCCTAGTCTAAGACCACCAGAGCAGTTGTTCCTGCAGCCGTTGGTGACTGGGACTGATCTTTAGGTCAATTCTCAGGTCCCAACACCACTTGGAAATATTCAGGCAGTTGGTCCCGTCAGAGTAGCTGACAGTCTGCAGCTCCAGCCATCTCTGTACTCACTGTTTTTGTTCAGGTTTTTCCACTACTTGGTGCCTAATCCACTTCTGTATAGTTCCTTTCAAAGCTCAGGGTTCCAGGATTATCTTCTGTATCTCTGTCAATTGTTTTTTCTTTTCTTTGTTGAAGAGGGTCTGTGTCACTTGTCTGCCTATTCCTCCATCTTCCCTCACTCCTATTTTAGAAAATTTTAAGCATATAGAAAAGTAGGCAGTGATCCTTTTGCCACCTTTAACAGTTACCATCTTGAGGTTAATCTTACTTCATTTAACCTTTACCACTTTCCACATCATTATTTTTGGGCAAATCTAAGACATAATTTCATCTATAACTTGCATGTCTCCTCAAAATAAGAACTTTTTAAAAAGAAGAATTTAACCACAATACCGTTATTATGCCTTTAAAATTTAATAATTAATTAACACCAAATGATCCAGGCAGCATTCAAATTCCTAATTGTCTCACAAATGTCATTTAAAAATTGCAGTTGGTTTGAATCATGATCAGAATAAAGTCAATGTGCTGCTGTTGGTTGATCTAAGTCTTTTCATCTATCGGTTCCTTCTTTCTTTTGCTTTTGCAAATTATTGAGGAAACTGGATTTATTGCACAGTTTCCCATAGTCTAGATTTTGCTGATTACATCCTTTTAACGTCATTTAACTTTTTCCCCGTCCTTGATATTTTCTTCCTAAATTGGAAGAGGCTTGATTAAATTTAGATTTGTTTTTGGTGAGCGGGAGCGGGGCATTGGGGCAGGACTGCTTCATAGGTGATAA